TATTATTCTCCTTTGGGTTACTTTCAAGTATATTTTATTCACATTATCTTTAAAATTTAGGGGTGACTTTACACAACATGCATTTTTAAATTTTAAACTAAATTTATTAACATTGTATTTTTATTTCTATAGTATTTATACTTTCTAAAATGTGTTAAATTTTAAGTGCAATAATTAGAAAAATTTTACAAAAAAAAAAAAATAGAACCAAAGTCAGTAAGGGCACCAATTTAACAGTGAAACATCAAGTTTTATGTTTGAGATATTGCAGAATATGTTTATTCTTGGCATCAACAAAATATATATAATACTAACAAAAAAGTATAAAAAAGGAATTTATAAAAAATCTAAATGTTTAACGTAGTCATATTGATACGTGCATCGAATCTTATAATATATTTCCTCAAAATCCAATGCTTAAATTTATAAAAAATATATCTTTTTAAAAAAATAAGAAATTAATCCCGGCGCATTCGCCATTTTTTAATTTTTTTAATGAAAATTAAAGCAACATTTATTTAAATTGCCATAAAATTCAAACAAACTGGCATAACAGGTTTTCCTTTGGATATTTTGTAGCGTAAATATGGCTTAACTAGTTTGCCAAACACACTAGTAGTTTCTCAAAGACATCCACAAAATTACTTCTATGTAAAAAAGTGAGTTTGTAAATTTTATACATAGGTCACTTTTACAGTACAGACATCTATGAGGAAGGGGTTTTAATAACTTTATTGTGCTTTTAAGTCCATTACTACCACCAAATTACTCCTATATATCTCGGGAATGTACTCTCTTAAAATGAATTAGTCAAAAATTGTCATATCGAAAAAGCAGCCAATAATAATTCTAGTCAACAACAATTTGTATCTCGGACATTTGAGTACATTAGATGCAAAACTCGGTTTTTGCAAATTTTTAAAAAATATATATTTTATCCTATTTATGTACATAACTGCACTGCCTACAGCATAACTAAGTAAACCAGATGCATAAGTTAATATTTGTAGAATAAAATACTTTTAAAAACTTAACGCAGATGCAAAACTGGGTATTTGTTTCTTCCTGTCGGATGCAAAACTCGATATTTTCTGTTGACCAATCACGTCGCTATTATACGCATTACGTGACGATATAACAATCACCTGATTAATTGTTATTTTTTGGTATTTGCACTTTTCACTTGCAAAACTTGGTCTTTGAACGAGGAAGATGCAAAACTATGTTTTTTAATCTTTTGATTTTAATTATTTACTGAACTACCTAATTTTAAAGGATTTTTTTTATTTTCTGAAATGAAAATGAAGCAAAAGCACTTCTATTAAATTATTGAATTTTTTTTTAAAATGGTCTTGGTTTTCATGTTTTTCTTAAAATCACTTATCCTGCAAATACAGAGTTGTGCATCTAATGTACTTATTTAGCAGTCAATTTCTAAATGTCCGGGATACAAATTGCTGTGAACTGCAGCTATTAGTGGCTGCTTTTTCGCTATGAAAATTAGTCATTTTTGACTAATTCCTTTTAAGAGAGCAGTTATGCTTTTAGAGTACAAGCAGCGCCCGAACATAGTGACCACCACCATTGAGGTGGCCTTTTTTTAACAGATTTGAATTTTGTAAAATCTAGCATAACATTACAATTATCCAAACTTCTTTCTTGTTATCTTGTTTTTAAGTATTGAAAATAAAAATCGCTCATCATAAAAATATTTAATTTATAAAAATAAATCAAATAAAAAGTGGTAAAAGCATTACGAAAGTGTATCCCTACGTTTTTAAAAAACTTTTTTAACTGCTAAAATATTTAAATACATTTTAAAACTCACATACAGTGAATATTTTTTACACTACATTGCCTTACACAATTGCCTTTAAATATAATTCAATGAAAAATAACATTGAAAAGGATCACTTAAGCGGTCTCAAAAAATGGTTTTCTACGTAAGGCTGTTGCAGAACTATGCTGGTAGACGGTGACTGATTATCTCTCACCGCTGTTGCGGTACCTGTTTGCCTATATAAGGCATTTTTTTATCTGCGCTTTCATACCACGGCTACCCGGCACTGATACGACCGGTGCAACAGGTGCCTGTTTGTGTAGCAAGGTCGAGACAACAGCACGGGCCTACTGGGGCTACTTAAGTGTTATTTTTTAATGCTTTATGTTATTTTGTCTTAAATTATAATTTTTAAAGGCAAGTGTCATGTACAATTGCTTTTACAACTTTTTATTGCGATATAAATTGACATTTTCGAAAAATCTTTAAATTCAATATTTTTATAAAAATGGCCTTGTTGAGAGATCCTAAAAACACCGAAAAATGACTTCTATTGTTATCTAAAACACAAAACATTTGTAACTAATTTAAAATATAAATTACACAATTAGTTCATAAATATTAACTATTACCTACATAGTAAGTGTTAAAACTCGTAAACTATATCATTTATATCAAGCACCTATTATAATGAAATTATACAATAACCGTAAAATTGGTTAATCCGCAATTCGATTAGCGAATATAAATTAACATAACGTTCCGTAAGGATTGAAAATACTGGCAATTAAAGGAATTGATATCATTTATTGAGCTTTAAATTATTGTTTCATGATAATAAAGACCTACTTGAATATTAGCTTGTTGGGTATTAAGAGCTATAATTATAAATAAGTACACTGACGGCCGATGTGGAGCATATTTTGCATAATCCCGATTTACAGAACGAGCTGAAAATTATACACCGACTTAATCGTTGAAATTGTGAATTTTCCAAACCTGTCTACCTAGTTTTGCTTTAACAAAATTTGTTATTTTAATGCAGGAAGTACTAAAAACTAAATATTTATTTGCTTTTAAAACACAAATTAAAAAAAAATAGTATAATATTATTAAAAAAAAGCAACTGATATTATATATATTATAATATATTATATGATATTATATATATTATTTATTATTTGTTATTAATAGTATAAATACTCGATGACAAAATTAACCGAACACTGGGTTTTCTAGGAAAATAAAACAACAGGTTTCTAAATTTTTAATCATTGTAATGAAATCTTTCTTAATAATAATAATGCTTTATTGAACTAAAACCAAGTTCAAAGGCTATTAACCGTAGTCCTTCAGCCGAATCTTTCTTAATAAATATAAAAGAAAAATAAAAAATTAACTGTAAATTCTATAGTCTATAGATAGTGGCTTCATTAGACTCATTCAAATAGGTGGATTGGTAGGCGTGGTCCTACCGAATGGCCCGCTTAGTCTCCTGATTTGAGTATGAGTATGAGTATGGGAACGTATGGCAGGCCCCAAAGACATTATCCTCCACTAATCTCCCAGGGTGATTTTACCCCCTTTCCGTTCTCCTGCGTATCCCGCCAAATCATAGCATTACTTGTGTTTGTTGGATTCGAAGTTTTTACGCCGGCTGGTAGATCCACCCTAGGAGGTCGTGGATGACAGTGTCTATGGTTAAGGCCGCTCCACGGATTTTTGTCAGCCGGGTCGGGCCATACGTCCAATTTAGGAAGGGTTTTTGGAGGACATTGAACTGACCCAAAACTAAGTACAATCCGGAATCCTCCTCAACCTGGGTCTTAGTAATAACCCCATTCAATTGGGATTCATGAATGGGGGTAGAAGTGTTAGTACGCTGCTAGAACCTGTCCTTGTTGGTGTATTTCTGAACATCTTTGTCCGAGTCAGTATCAGGTTCCTGGTCACCTCTTTAGAATTGTTGCCCCCCTGTGTGGAAGACTCCGTACCGAAGTGTTGACGGCTATGACACACCGTAAGTGCCCTCTGCCTTGGTGGATATTCCTCCTCCGAGTGCCGGCTACGAACCTTGTATATTCTTTATTTATTTTATTGTTAAATTAGTGCTTATACCCTTTTCATTTACTTTATATCTTTGAATTCTTACTTTTTTTTCAAATTTAATTTAAAAATATAAATATGAATATACAAAATAGATAAAGCCAATTTGGTTAAGTTGTTTATGGTTTGTCTACTGTGAGAAAATGAGGTTGTTAGTTTAACACTTACGGAAATGTTATCTTATTATTTTTTAAAATTTATCTTTTCAGACAAATAAAAAGAAATCTTAGACAAACAATCAGAGTGCTTATATTAGAGATTTTTCATAATTTACTGTCTGAACCGCTTTATTGAAATCTTTGTACATTTTTGTAGTAGTAAAAATGTATATTCAAAAACTGTTCGAGTTTAATTTAAAAACTGTAGGTATCATTCGACTTTTAAATAAACAATTATGCGCATTGGTCGTATTGAATATACCAAAAACTGTTCATTTAATTAAAACTTGAAATAGTTTACTTTTCTCAGTGTAGGGACCTGTTTGATTTCTGAAGCCAGATGACATTTTTGGCAACATTGCGAATTTGCGTATATAAACATTTAACGATTAAATTATATCAGAATCGAATTGGTACCGGGGTGACTTCGGACGATTTTTGAGGTTTTTTCTAATTTTGAATAGGTAATGTTTGTTATTTTAAACTAATTTTTTTACAGGGTGTTTTGGGATCCTTCCGGTATAAGTTTACGTAAAAATAATAATAGTCATAAAAATATTAATACTACTTTTCTTTTTGTTAAAGTCTGTCCGAAGTCACCCCTTAAGGTGGGACGATTTCGGACAAGCATTGTAAAATGCATGTAATCGATGTTAGCATATTCAGGGGCCACTTCGGACAGGAATATTGCTTTTAAAAAAAGTATAAAGCATGAAATTAGAAAAATAAGCATGAAATTAGGAAAAAAAACTCATTTAAAAGGAAAAATAGGTTTTATTTAAAAAAATATAAAATAAAAAGTAATTCTGAGGATCAAAACATTAAAAAAATAAATATTTCTTGTTATACTATTAAAAAAATAACTAAATATCACATTCTAGAGGTAAAAAAATAAATATTAAGATCTTTTTGATAGAAAAAGACATTGGTTCTAATCATCGAAACATAAGAAAAAATTATTCTACAGACTTCTTTGGCATATTAGAGAATTTATATCTTTCTCTACGCATAGGCACTGGCTTCAAAATTTGTAAAATATCAAATTTTTCGACAACACTTTCATCTGGGACAGCTGGAAAATAAAAGTAGGTGTCTTTCTCGCCTTTCTTTCTTAAAAATCTAACTGTATAATAGGGAGAAGCTTCACCATCATCATTATTTCTGTGTATGATCTTAGCAGCATAATATTTATAATTTGATGAATTTTGAATGGGTATTTTGATTAATACGAAAGTGTCAACTCCGAGCGAGGTAAAGTTATTATCCGAGTTTTCCTTGTCGGAACTGCTGTTTTCATCAATTTCACAGTCATTTTTCCCTCCAGATGAAGGACCACATTCAATTAGGTCCTTTTCATTTATATTATTCGGATTGTCCTTAAGTTTTTTTTCTCTTAGGACGCTTAAAAATTCATTGTCCGAGTCTTCTGTATTATTGTCATTAACTTCTTCTGTATTAATAACATTATTTCTGTCGACTTCTTTATTAAAATCTGTTAGTTGGACAGTTTTTCCTGCCTGTATATTTATTTGCCTTCTCCTAGTTTTGGTTTTAGACTCGGGCATTCGCGATGTTTGAAGAAACTCCAACAAAGAGTTTGATATTTCGCTGCCCTGTTCTTCATTAACATTCGTTAAATGGGGGATCCTTTTCAAAACCTGATTTGGATTATAGGGGAGAATTCCGGTTGCCCTAAAACCAGATAAGATATTATTTTTAGAGTTTGTCTCAACTTCATCCAATGTTTTTTTCAACAGAAGAGGAAATTCTGATTTTTGGAAGGGTCCTCTTCTTTTCAGTTTCCACTCTGTTAAGATTCTTCTCCAGGTTTTTTTTAATGGGGCAAAGTAAGCGACATCCAGTGGCTGGCATATGTGAGTTGAATTGGGGGGAAGTAAAATAAAGTGGATATTATTTTCTGTGCAACTCTTAATGACGTCTAGGGTGATGTGCGACGATAAATTGTCACCTATCATGACTTTCCTTCCTGATTTATGTCGAAAGTACGGTAGAACACAGCTGCGAAACCATTCTACAAAAACAGTTGTTTCAAACCAACCAGACTTAGTGACTGAAAATTGACAACCAGGTGGACCATGTTCCTCCCATTCTTGATAGCGATGCTTTGCTTTATAGACGACGAATGGCGGCAATAGGATTCCTGAAGCTGAAGCCGCCATCATCACAGAAACGCTTGTTTTTGTCGAATCTATAACTCTATCACAATGCTTGCTTCCTCTTTTGCAAACAACTTTAGGGCGTCCTGAGTCATCACTAAAATTAGTCTCATCATAATTGATGATATTTTCGTCCGGGACGCCTTCTAAAGACGTTTTCAATAACTTAAAGTAGTCCTTTATAGTTTCATGAGTAACCTGGGCTCTGTTTCTTTTGATGTTTTGGGACAGCCGTACAGTCAGTTGTTTGTGTCTACTTAAAAAATGTTTTACCCAGTCTCCACCTGGTAAATTATTTTGAAAACGTGGCATTTGAACCCCTTTTCTAGTTAAATAACTCTGGACAATTTTCCGAATATCGAATTCGGTTAACGGGAAGCCCCATTCTGCACAGGTAGTTATACCGGAGGCCAAAACGATTTCTTCTTCTCTGGTGAGGGCAGTTTGTCCTCCTACTTTTTTCGTATGATGTCCCTTAATTTTATCCGATATCGTGGATTTTGGAATTCCGTAGAACTCAGAAGCAGATCTCAAAGTTCGCTTTTTAAATTTTACGTCATTTACAGCCCGCAATAAACTGTCCTCCGTATAGTTTCTGTAAACAATGCTCCCCAACGTTTTTTTATAGACCCTAACCATGTCCGAAGTCGCCCCCTAAAATGCAAATATTTTTATTACAACCCTGTATAAAAGTTAATGTGATACGAACATAAACCAAAAAAAGATTATTTATTAACAACATTACATACTACCGAAAATCTATATTATTTTGATTATACAGTGCATACTTACTTGCTGGCACTAGTTACTTTCACCAATTTATAAAAGAAGTAAAGTTTTTACTCCAGACTAAACAACGCAAAAAACGTATTTCACTTCACAACCGAACCTACGTGCCGCTTGCCACGCCTTAAGTCAACTACTACGAAGTTTTTGGCCGAATTACAGAACTCTGTTTTGTCAGACGTGCCTGCCGCGATTTTTTAAATTATTTAAGGTCATGATGTCCGAAGTCGCCCCGGCTGTCCGAAATCACCCCGTTTTACGGTACTGTTATTAGGTCATGCAATTAGGAAAATTACTTAGCTGAACTAGTTGAAATCTGCCTTCCTATCCCTAGCGGACAGACCGCGCTCCTTGGCCCTGCCGATTGTGATGACCATACAGGTGATCAGGAGCGGCCAGGCAACTCATCGGAGTGACCCAACCTTATTCACTCACTCTCACACAAACATCCACGACGCTACAGCACTTTGTGACCTAACCGGGGTCCACCCGCACTTTTCAAACTTAGTATTATTTCCTTTCTTTTAGCATTTGAATCCGTTACCACGTGCAGCATCGACATTGCCCGCTTAGTCTTCTGATTTAACGCGTTTAATTTTTTTTATTATTTATGTAAATTTACAGTTAATTTTTTGTTTTTCTTTTATATTTATTAAGAAAGATTTCACTACAACATCCCTAAAATAATGTGCGGGCATAATAACAGTTTACCCACGGGCTGTTGGCTTTAAATAAAAAATAAAAAAGTGACGTTAAAAATGTTCGACAGAATCTGTCATCTGATGTCATATGTGACTCACATAATGTGAGATAAAATATCAAATAAAATGGCTTTAAGTTTCTTGCGACATAATTGTTTTGGTTTTTTAATGTTCATACTGTGTTTTTAAACTGTTATGTAAATTTCTTGCGGTAGTTTAATAAAATATTGGTCGAAAAAGAAAAATTCCATTTGCGCTCGAGAAATCTTCTCCTTCTGTCACTAGTCGTACAGTATAATAATTTTATACTACATATTTTTAAGACATATTATTTTAGGAAATTTGACGCACTACAAAAAACATTTTTTCGTAAAACTATACAGAATATTAGGCAGGGTTAAACGACATCGGCTAACTTAAGGCAAACTTATGAAATTAAAAAAATATTTAATCCATTTTAAACTTTTACCTCCGATAACATTTAAATTGATTGTTTTAGGAAAAACGCAGAAGACGTTTTTGTAAAGCGTAAACATTCCTACAAAAATTTGTCCTGTTTATTGTTGCATGTTTATGTATTAGCGAGTTATGATTTTTTAAAAACTATTTTTTTTAATGGTTTTTATAAATTGTAAACAAATAATTTGGATGATACCCAAGAAAAAAAGGCCAACTTGAAACATAATGGACACCCTTATACACAGTCAAGTAAATAATTTCTATCAAAAACCACAAAAGTTCTTTTAATGGCTTTAACCGAAAAATTAAATATACCTACATGTATATTTGTTTTAAGTTTAAATATTGGTAAAAATCATAAAGAGTCATTTTGTATTCGTCTTCATAAAACTTTTTATGATTATTTTGTTTAAATTAATAAACTTACTCTTTTTAAATAAGTTTATTTTTTTAATCATTTCTATTACAATATTTTTTCACCTTTCCCCTACATTTAAAGTCGGTAATATAGTTTGAAGGATATGTAAAATATTTGCCGAAAACTCCAGCAACTTTTTACATAAAAGCCTGACGTAAAAGTTCTAAGTAAATAGATTTCCGTAGAAAAATATTCAGAAAACTTTTAAGTTTTTCAATTCTCTTATAAGACATACTTTTTTGAGTCATATGTGCCGCGCTGGAAATTTATACCTTTCATTTAATTAGATGTTCGTCCTATTTAAATAAATTAAGTTTTATTTTTATAAAAAAGTTGCGTTTAAAATATAAAAAAATAAAGATAATAAACTAAGTTATAAAGAATAAAAAAACAAAGAAAAACGTTGACTAATCAAATAATTTAGATGATACCCAAGTAAAAAGCCACATAAACTTATAAAGATAATGAAAATACTTTGCTTTTTGTTTAATTTCAAATTTTGACCCCAGTTATCATTTAAATAGATGATTTTATTAAAAAACGTAAAATATGTTTTTGTAATGCGTAAAATTTCCTACAAAAATATGTCTTCTATATTCTGCCGTGCTAAGCTAAACCCCAGTATCTGCTATATTAAGTATTAAATGACAAAAGGACAATAATTGTTGTGTATTAATTAGCGAGTTATGAATTTCTTATGTCCTTAAAATGTCAGAAAGGGTTAAACGAAATTTGAATTTCTTTTTATATTTAAAATTTAGGTGATTTGTCTGGGTAGTGACACAGTTACATAAACTTAACATACGAGTAGAAAGCTCGTTTTCATAAAAAAGGGAATGTTCAATAAAAACTAATTTAAACAAAATGTCCTTATGCCGCATATCAAAATTATCTAATAAAACGCCAAAATATTGTAAATTGGATTTTATTGTTATAAAATGTTTTGCAGTTAATGGAAGTGTCATTCGACGTGTTGAAGAACATGCTTTTAAATTTGAACTTTATTTATACATTTGTATTAATGTGACCTATTTTCAAGCATTTTAAAGCAGGATTTTATTGCATTTTAAAACACGATTTTTTAAAAACTTTGCTTGTTCCCTTGTAAAAATAAAGCTCTTTTGATGCAACTATATTTAATTTATTATTTCGGTGACGTTACAGGAGCATTTCAGCTGTTTAATGGTACGCCACTTTCTGGCTGTGATTATTTTCGTTTGTTTTGCGAAGTTCCTACTGAGTGATACAAGCCGAAAAGTGTATTCGGATAATTTGGCCATAAAAATTCCGTTAAAGATAGAGTAAATCCAAAAAGTAACAATGTGTTAAAGAAATATATCAAAGTTAATGTTCGCCTTGTAGTTTTGTGTTGTGTATTGGCATTAAGTTTTGTGAAAGTAATGCATCCAGAGGTTTAGCCGGAGCAATTTATTGTTCCAATATCTGATCCCCGAATGGACTTTGGCTGTGCTTGAGCGCTCGCAATGACCCAAGTTGGACACTTTACGCGCCCAACTTTTGTTATGGCCGCCAATTGGAAGCTGTTTATGCAATCCGTGTCCGAAGATTTTCCGCCTATTTCTACTTCCGGGACCTCGCTTTGAAAAAGGAAGACATTGCTTGCTCTGTTTTATTACGCTCGTTTCAACCATCCCAGGATCCCTTCTTTTATCATGTTATACAATTGTAACGATCGACGACGTTTTATTTTCTAATAATAAAAATCTATTTTTATTTTGATATTTTTAAATGAAATCGGTATCCTTTTTAACCATTTTATAATGTCTCAAAACGATTTCCACGGACCGGTAATTTCAGCTAGGAGAGTGGTAAAAAGTCACATGGTGGCATATCTGGTCAATATAGTGTCTGCGATGTTGGTTAAATGCTGAGCTAAATACACTGTTATAAAAATCAGATTTGTTAACATGAGTTAATTAATTTGTTAATTTTATTTTGCAAAATTTTAACATATTTTTTTTGTAGAAAGGCAGGGTTTGTAAATATTTTAACCAAGGAAAATATTTTACCGAAAGTTTTGTAAAGATAATATGCAATTTTGTAAACATTTTGTTAATTTTAAAGGTTACAGAATATTTTGTTAATATTTAACAAATTATTTCGCCAAAAAAGTACACGTGATTTTAGGCACTCAATCAAAAAATTCCCACTAACAATACGCATCAACAACTGACTTCAGCGTCTGCAACTTATGTTTCTGCTTACTTTATTCTAATTTGTAACGTGTTTTTAAAAACTGCACAGAGTGTTAATAACACTATGATAGTTTTATAAACTTTTTTCTAACATTGAGTACTCCGGTCCAGTTTAACTAATTTTGGGCCACTGATTTAAAAAATTTCACTCGTTTTGCTCTAGGACGTCTAGGATTTAAAATAATTGCGAAATAAAATGCTTTGCTCAATCACCTCAAAATGTAGTTTTTTTGTTAATATTTTAATTATTTATTAAATTATTTTGCCTTAAATGTATTGATTGTACTGGAGTATGGCATTTTAATTACTAAAACTAAAATTATAATGTATTTTATGTAAAAAATAACCCGATTCCACGGCAGAAAGTTTATGTTTGATGCATTGGTCAAATTTACGTTTGATGCATTGGAATCGGGGACGAAACAACGTATTTTCGGCCGAGGTAGTAAGAAATAGTATATTACACTACAAGGGCTACGAAGGCTTCGCTCGTGCCGCAAATGTCGGTGCAGGCATCAATATGTTTTGATATACACATTTAATTTTTTCCCGTATTTTAGGCCGGGTAGCAAGAAAAATAGTATACACTACACGGGCAGAAAGTGTGAGAGCCCTGAACTGCGCGCCATGATGCCCTCGGCTTCGCCTCGGGCATCATGGCGCGCAGTGCAGGAATCTCACACTTTCTGCCCTTGTAGTGTAATATACTATTGCCAATTGAAATCCTGTCAATTTAGACCAATTAAAAACTGTCAAAAAAACGGTTTGCTTAAGGATAAAAGGAAGTAAAAAAATGCCAAATTTGGAGAATATTTTTCTATCTACCTTTTTCATATTAACGGATGTATTATTGTATAGAAAAATGACAAAGTGACACAAAAATGACTTAATTTATGTACTCTTGGAATTTTTTCAACAAATACCACTCGAAATTCGATTGAGCAGGACATATTTTGGACTTTTAATTCAAACTTTGGTTTGTTAATTTTACTCTAAGAAATTCTTTGAAAAGCGAAGAGCATTTCTTCAATGAATAGGCGTCAATTTTCGACCTGAAATGATAAGATTTAATAAATTTTCATTGAATTTTTGGTTACTTTAAGCGTGATGTGAATAGAAAAATTGTCGAAGAGTAATTTTTATACCTAAATCCGTTTACTTTGGTGCCTTTTCAATTTAGTAAATAAAAAAAAAATTCAAAAAAATATCATTTTTACAAAAAAAAATACATTAGAATTTTAGTTTTGATACTTAAAATGCCATTCCTTTGGTCTAAATATTTTCTATGAGGGATATAATACTACTACTGCTACAATGAAACAAAAAATTCAAAATATAAATATTTGACATATACCTACCTGTGTACATCCAAAATAGATTTGGGACAAAATAATTTAATAAGTAATCAAAATATTAACGAGAAAACATACATTTTAAGATAATTGGACAGAGCATTTTATTACGTAATTCGAATCGTAGACGTCCTGGAGCAAAAAGAGGGGCATTTTTGAAATCAGCAGCCGATAATTAGGTAATGTAGGTGGGTGTACTCAATGTTAGTAATTCGAACTATCATAATATAGTACCGGAAATTTGTTATTATTGTTATTCGGATTCCTTATACCTATTTAACGAGTGTGCGAAGTGTGAAGTATCCGAAAAAAGATGCCATCACAAATTAGGGGATACAGTGAAGTGGGTCAAATTTATTTATAATTTGATGATTTCAGAATGATGTTTTATTTAAGTTATTTATGTGTTCATTTATGTAGGTAAGTGTTAATTTTTTTGTTAAGGAAATTGATTAATAAAGCAACATTTCTTATCAAAATTCTTTTCATTTAAGTTCCCAATTTCCAACAAATATTTTTGTTAATGGGTCTACAAAAAGGTTTGTAAAAATAAGGTTCTTTTCGAAAATTGCCAGAATTATGATTGAATTATTGATATAGGATTTTATTATTAAATCTACAAAATGTTTTTACAAACTACTTACGAGGTGTGTTCAGAGAATAACGGGAATTGTTAAATTTCGCGGGTTCGGAGTGTCCGGTTGTCATACAATTTTCTTTATTATGTTGGTATATATGCCCCCGAAGTATGATAAAAACTTTAGCTGCTTTCATTGTTTACTTTGTCTGTGGAAGTCGCTAAGGTTAGACGTGTTTTATGAGCTCGGCGATTTTTCGTTCGTTAAAAGAAATGGATCAAAGAATTTGTATCCAATTTTGCTTAAAAAATTAAATAAATTCTGTGAAATGTTAACAAAGGCCTATAGTAAGTCTGCTATAAGTAAAACAAGAGTTTACAAGTGGTATAAGAGTTTCCAAGATGGCCGTGAAGACGTTGAAGATGACGAACGCCCCGAACGCACAAGCACATTAACAACCGATAAAAACATGGAAAAAGTGGAAGTTCTTCTAAATGGTTATAAACCATCAGAGAAGTCGCTGATGATGTTGGTATATCGATTGGCTTATCCCATGAAATTTTTTCGAATGTTTTGGGTATGAAACGCGTGGCAGCAAAATTTGTTCTAAAGTTGTTAAATTTTAAACAACATTTTTGGCCAAAAACAATACTGTAATGATGCCCCAGCCTCCATATTCGCCAGAAATGCCTCTGTCTGACTTTTTCCTATTCCCAAAAATAAGGACAACCTTAAAGGGCCGTCGTTTTGCAAGCATAGATGACATTAAAAGCGCATCGCTGAAAGAACTAAAGGCTATCCCAAAGATCGAGTTTTAGAAATGTTTCGAGTATTGGAAGATGGGGACTATTTTGAAGGCGACAACATTAATGTAGACGAATAAATAAATACTTG